GAAATCATTGCAAGCAGAGAAATGTAAGCAGACCAACATAGTTGGAATAAGCTCACCAGACTGAGTGTAAGTATCGTACATGACTAAGGTATGATTTAAAAACATATAAGTAAACTACAAAACCAACATAGTTTAATGTGTAATTGATGATAGTAAGAAGCAATTTTCCAATGTATTATTTCCCATCCAGAATGGATTTTCGAAAATTGCTTGAGGACTACATCATTCAGCAATAAAATGAGTAAAAAGTTGAGAGAAATTGACTATGCTCACAATTTTGGATAAACAAACTCCGAAAGAAGCAGATGTATTTGCAACAGATGCTCGTACAATAGGTAGTTATGCATGCATTCTAAAATAACCTTCGCAACCTGCAATTTGAAACAAGGGAAAGAAAAAGCAAAGCATGTTAAGTCAAACANACAATAGGTAGTTATGCATGCATTCTGAAATAACCTTCGCAACCTGCAATTTGAAACAAGGGAAAGAAAAAGCAAAGCATGTTAAGTCAAACATTCCAGAAGTTATCAGCTTAATCAACATGCAAAAGTACTACCTCAGAAGATTGAATTCAATAAATCCAAAATGCCTCAATTTCTATGTCTGTCAAATAGTAAACTAAACAAATTAATACCATCACAAGGATTGAACAACAATACCAAATACCCATTATCAACCATTAGCTCAAGCTTGTCCCTGAAATAGATCAAATCACTATTATTCATCTAATTTTGGCGCCATCATTCCAATTAAACCAACAGGCAATAATTTTCCAACTAAACATGAGAAATGGACAATCTTTCCTAAAGAGACATTCATAAATTAAAGATAAGCATCCCCATTTGAAGAAATGATCATAATATGATATCAACAAAGGCTAAGATCAAATACCATCCCCACAAACCAATGACCACTTGTACCATTTCACCATAGACATTTGATAAAAAAAATTGTTTTCGGTTTAAGATGTAATGCGAAAATTAAATATATAGACAAGTAAGAGACATCCCATTTGCCTCACAAGTAAGATATACTGCAACTCGGATAAGCTTAAGAAATGCAGGGGAAAACAGATTTTATTGAGCAATTGCAATAGAAGTAAAATGATTTAAAAGTAAAGATTTACGGGAGAGTGGTGGAGCTCATGGAGGAGGAGATCGACGGACTCGTCCTCTGCTTGAAGAAGAAATCGATGCAATAACCAAGAAGAAATCCATTGTCATCCATCCTGCCCTTTTTTGAGTCGAGCGCCAAACACAGAAACGAAGAAAAAAAAGAGGCGAAGAGTTGTTCGGTGGAGAGACGGGTCACAGTGAAAGAAGAGGAAGAAATCAGTTCGGTAGAGGCGATTGAGGAAGAGAACAAACTTCGATTGAGTGTAGAAATGGGGAAAGAGTGGGTAAGAGATCAAACCTCGATTGAGTGCAGAAATGGGGAAAGAGGGCAGAAAATATCTACCATTTCGCGGCTCGGCTGGAAAACGAACGGCAGAACACGTCGTTGGCAGCGCCGGCGACTTTTTCTTAGTCCTCGTGGCCTTGCCCGTCGTCACCCGTGGAGTCACTGCGTCGGTAGCAACTGATGCCGTGCTGCATCTGATTCGGCCTTTGATTTCGAATGGAAATCATGGAATCAATCAATCAATGGAATTAGGAATTTAGGAAGAGTAGGGTTTGCGGTTTCACAATTTGGAATTTGGGGAGAGTTGGATTTGGATTGGGAACTGAAGAATTTTTGGAGGGATTTGCAAGAGTCGGTCTGAAGATTTCAATTTCGCTGCTGGGTCTGGGCCTTTTGGTATGAGATAAGGCGGTGTTGTAGGATGAGGAAAAAATTAACCAAACAAAGAAAAATCACACAGGGAGATTCGAACCGTTGACGTCCGTGCGAGGTGCCTTCAGGGGTTTCCTTGAAACTGTTGCACCACCCGTGAATAGGTTGTGAACAGTGAACTTGCCTTGGCGTCTTTTAGTATAGGTAGATAGATACAATTTATCTGAAGAGAGGGAGCTAGTGAAAGAAAGAGAATGGAAGTGAAAAAGATGTCAACACCAGAGGATTTTCTTAATATGCTTATTGAGTAGTTACCAATGCAACACAGTAGATAAAAAAAATTTCTATTAATCCACCTAGAGAGGGAGCCAAAACACACCAGAGGCTGCTGGTCTTTGAATTAAATGCGTGACAATTGTAAAAATATATTCTGAGGTATAACCATTATGAAAATGCCTTCTTTTTTTTTTAACTTTTTCGTGGATCAGCATAAGTCAACTAAAAGAGTGCACAAATTTC